CCCGCTCCTCGCCCCGCCCCATGGCTCGCCCCACACCACCAACCGCCCCTATTCCAGAGGGTTTCAAAGTAAATACTGGGCGAGGCGCTTGCAAACCGTCGTGGGTCTTCCCCGTCCGTGCGAGCGCCCCTCCTGCCTGCCAGCAGCCCCTGGCCCCGGCCCGGGCCTGCTGCGCTCGAAACGATAAGGCAGCGTGCCTCGGCAGTGTGCGGCCCGCCAGCCGCCCGTCTGGCCGTCTGTCAGGACTTTACCGAAACCTTCCCCTGGCCCGCCCGGGCACAGCAGCAGTCATGTTCGGATTCACGCTCTCTCTCTCTCTCTCTCCCTCGCTCTCCCTCGATCTCACTCTCGTGGGCGGCCACACACACACTCGCGCTCGTCGAGAACTCCATACAGCTCTTAAACGTTACACCTCTAGGAAAGTGTTTCTTACTCTGCATGCTGTTGTATGACTAGAGCGGGGTCTATGTAGACAACTCTGCGTACATTTATTTATTTTGTCTTACACTGGTCGGGTTCGGGCCCGGCGGCCCGCAGCCTGCAGCGCAACTGTGCGGCATGATGTGGTACACTCCTCCTCCCCCATTCCCCTGAGGGGTCGGGGACCCCCCCCCCCCCTCTGCCCCCTCTCTCTTTCTCTGCGCTGCTGTTTTGTATGCCACTCGCTGGCCGCGCGCCGAAATGAGTTTTGCTGTACATCCACGCTATGATTACGATTCTTTTCACTTTCAATTACTCCCATCCATATGTAGCAGAGGGTATTGTGCACGCCGCCGCCATTGTGAGCGTGTGCGCGCGTGTGTGGGTGCTGTGACTGTGTGTGTGTGTGTGTGTGTGTGCGGCGTGTGTTGGGCTCCTCTGTTGTGCCCACTCGCGCATTCCAAGCCCCCTCTCCTCCCCAATCCCCTCCCCCCTCTCTCCTCTTTCACTCCTTGTCGCGTCCATGGGCATCCCGTTTCCTGGTCCGGCCGGCTCATGGCGCACGGCTCATATCGAGTATCTACCCCTCTCAACAACCCCCATCCGCCCCCCGCAGCCCTATGGCCTCTTCACTCCTGTTGGAAATGTTTCATTTATGAGTCCGCCCGCCGCCCGCCGTCCCGATGGTCCCGCGGGTCCCGGATCGCCGCCCGCGGCCGCGCCGGGCGAGCAGCGCAGGGGTCGCTCATGAACACCCATGAACTCGCGCTGCCGCCGCGGTGGTTTGGGTAGCGCCGTAGTAGTTTGGGGGGTCATGAGTACGGCGAGGATCGTGTGCTCGCAACTATATTGTGGCAACAGCGGGCGAGAGCGAGGGGTACTTCACTACAAATTCCAGGATGCACATTTCTTTTCTGCTTTTTCTTGACTTTGCTTGATTTTTTCTCCTTGAATTGTTTCATAGTAAAGTAGCTCTTGGGCGAAAGTAGGGCAGAAAAGGTCCTGACTAAAGGTGCAACGATGTGTAGGCAGCACGTTTGTGTGCAAGGCACCGATGTGAAACAACATGTTTCTGTGACTCGTCCACTGGTAGCGCCCGCAAAGTGGTGGGTAGGCCAGTCCGCCAAGCAGCTGTGTGGAGCCGGCGGCCCGCCCTGGGCGTCCCCAACTGTCACATCAGTCAGCACAGCACAGCACACTGGGTACAGGAACGTTTGGCGCCTATTAAACGTTCTTACGGGGTCTCCTCGGGAAACGTTCGGTGTAGGGGTGGGGGAGGGGACCTTAACTTTACAAATTTTTAATTGCTGCTTGGTGAACGACGGCGGGCAAAGGGCAGAGGAACCTCGGGGGGAGG